TTCTTCTTCTTCTTCTTCTTCTTCTTCTTCTTCTTCTTCTTCTTCTTCTTCTTTAAACTGGTTAACATCGAACTCAGATTTGTCGACAGATAACGCAAAATAACACCCCCCCCCAAAAAAAAAAAAAATTAAAAAATGCCAACAATCAGTTTGTCAAGAACAATAAAACAAAAGCAATATAATTATGAACAATTAGAACATAATCAAGTTCCGAAAAATTAGAACATAATCTAGCTATGAATAATTAGAACATTCAGATATTTCCCCACCGATCCCCTTTTCCTAGTTTAAAGCACCGTCGAGGATAAATAAGATAATAGTAGAAGCAAAAACGACATCACTTTTGAACGCCACCAAGAAATAACTCAAGACACGGACGATGATGGGGTGTAGGAGTTCATTCTTCAAAAACAACACAAAAATTAAAACACTAAACAAATACATTACTAGTCGTAATCTCAGAATTACAAAGTTCTATCGGCACAGTACCTAGTTTTGGTAAATTTGACGTCAAAAGTTTTTAGCTTCACAATATTATGTCAAGCTATTTTTAAATAAATGCAATTCTTTGAATATCTTGATACCAACGCAGAATAATCTTACAATTTTTATAAGGCAGATAAAGCATTTGATTTATGATCTCATGGTCTCAGCAACTCAAAACGGCCAAAATATCAGACAGACTTAGAACATTGTAATTCTGAGGTAGCGAAGTGCTGAGAGAAGCAGATGAATAGTATCAAAGTTCGACTCGTCATAAGTCGCTTCTTCCAACTCCCCTTGGACCTACTTTACTGCTGCTATCTATTATTTCCATAATACACATTTAAAAGGATATTATATAATTTGTAAAGGTTAACTTTGAAATAGAAGTGAGAAACCAAAATCTTTTAGGTTTCAACTTGTGAATTTTTTGTTATGATTTTCGCCAAGAGAATAAAAAAACATCAGGCACGTTGTGCTTCCTTTACAAAATGTAGGCCTCAGGGGTCGTAATTCTTTTAAAAAAATTATACACACAGTGGTATAAAACAAAGACATAATTATTTTAATTAAGTAAAATGATAATTTGAAGAAATCGACTAGAGAGTTCTTGGTTCGAATTCTAAAACCAGCTACGTAGCAACTGTGTTCCTTTTCCCTCGAAAAATAATAATTTTTTTTAAAATTTTTAAAATGAGCACATTCTTACACCCCTACCTTCCCACTTCTTACCCCTTCCCATAACAATTTAAAAATCGTGTATAAACCAATTTTAAAAAACCAACTCACTATTTTGGATGAGGATTGTCATTTTCATCGACACAAGGAACAGCCAGTTCAGATGCATAGTGAAAGTATTGCAAATCTATGTAATCCACCAAGCTACAATATTATTTCGAACTTCCAATGATTTCACAAATGTTCGTGTGTTGCAGTTATCCCAACAACACCGTTTCCACCACGTTGCAACGCTGTTCGCTTCAGCTATGTTATGATTTTTTAGAACACCCTGACGAGAGTAGTCTTAGATCTTTGTCGATATCAGACTGACAACAAAAGTCTATGCCAAATGGTTTTCACCAATTGAGAGCCAATCAGATCCAGGGGGTTCACTGACCGACTTGACCAAACTCATGTTTTGGCCCAATAGAAATCAAAAGATTGCTGGTAAGCCAAGCCATATATTTCTGACGTACCCCAGTAAAATAATTTTGGTCTTTGATATGTTGATCAATCTTTGTTGGCACCGGAATTGTTTTAATAAAAAGGCTTCGTCTCTGCGTCATTCGATTCGTATAGAGTGGCACACTCCGGAAATGTTTTGGTGTTCCACTGCCTATACAATGGGTACCTCTATTCCTTAATAAATAAGAACATGTCGCCTCCGACAGACGTCTGTTTACCCTTTACATCTTCCCCCTTTTACTCCCCCCCTCTCTCTCTTTCTCTCTCTCTCTCACTCTCTCCCTTTATCATTCTCTGTTTCTTCCCCCCCCTCTCTCTCTGGTTCTCTCTCTCTGGTTCTCTCCCTCTCTGGTTCTCTCTCTGGTTCTCTCTCTCTGTGTCTCTTTCACCTTCTCTCTCTCTCTCTCTCTCTCTCTCTCTCTCTCTCTCTCTCACTCTCTCTTTGTGTCCCTCTCTCTTTCTCCTTCTTCCTTTTCTCCGCCTTTCTCTCAAGATGTCTTATAACCAATTTGTTCCCGACTCCCTCTCTCTGTCTTTGTCTTTACAACTTTCTCCCCCCTCCCCTTTTCTTCCCCTCTTTCTTTCCCCCGGCCTCTTCCCCCTCCGGCCCCCTTTCTTTTTCTCCCAACCCCTTCCGCAGATATCCGTATACGTCAACCTATACTTTCCACCCTCGTATTCACCCCCCTTTGAGGACAAACGTATTTGCCATAGACATACAATAATACTCAGGCGCCGAATTCTCGGAACAATGTAGGCGGAAATCAATTGTCCGAAAGAGGAAGCACCTCACTGGTCGTTTGCGTCATGAAAGTGGACCAAAACTCGGTGACCTCCAGGACTTGACCTTTGGTAAAGTGATCACAATAACGTAGAAAGGGGCTACAATGCACTCTTACTAATCACACTCATGAAGCAAACTCAAACGCCGAAAGGTAGGTACCGTTGGTCCTGTTTCGGAACGCAAATGCCAACTTGTTACGACACGTGATTAACAAGGTTATGATTGTGGAGTTGGCTTCCTGACGTTGAACGGAAATTGGTGCTAGAATACAATTAATTATACCGTACACGTTTACGGCTGCCGCTCTCTGCTTTCTGTAAAAAGAATTACTTGGAGGCTTTTTTTTTGGTAAGTGTTTTACGGCGCTCGCAACTGCGTAAGGTCATATTATGAGCTCGCGGGACACATTAAACATTTTCAGTTGGTAGGAAATTTTGAATTTTTCCAGTGTGGCAGCCGAAGCCTACTCTTATCAAGGGATCTTTAACGTGCGACACTTGCAAATGGGACCTCCGAGATTTTTCGCCCTTGTCCCAGAAGGCTAAGGGTAGATCATTCCTTCCAGAAGATCAGGATTGTGGCTGAAAGACAGCAGTAAGATGGAGACAAGGAGTAGCAGTAGATTGGAGGCGTTAGCACCATGAGCGCCTAAATGCAGGGCAAAACACCAGTCTCGCAAAAGTCGAGTGTGCAGGCTACACTTCCCCCCTTGACCCTCATTTGATTCCATATTGAGTCAAAATATAATAAATCTAGAGGTACGCACTGCGCACTGCGCACGACGCACACCACGCAGCGGTTGGTAACTTGATACATGTCATCTTTTTCCCACAACGAGAGAGAGAGAGAGAGAGAGAGAGAGAGAGAGAGAGAGAGAGAGAGAGAGAGAGAGAGAGATGCTATTGTAGACTCATGCATCTCTATACTTCTTGCTTGGGGGCTTTCGTGGTCCAGAGGTTAAGGTGTTGGCCTCTCATTCAAAGGTCCCGGGTTCGAATTCGGGTAACAACCGAAAATTTTTCTTCGATACAATTGTCTCCTTTCACCTCCTTTCCTGCTGTCTTGCAATGTTCTGTTGTCTCCTCTTTCTGCCCCCCCCTTTCACCTCATTTGACCCCTCCTTTGGGTCCCTGACTCTTTCAGCCGCGTGTCTACAGCTACTCCTTGGCTCCTTCTTACTGCTGTCTTTCCGCCACACCCCTGATCTTCTGGTAGGAAAGATCTACACCTAATCTTCTCGGACAAAGGCGACAAATCTCGGAGGGCCCTTGAGCAAGTTGTGCTCATTAAAGATCCTTTGGTGGTCTAAAATCGATAAGAGTAGGCTTCTCCGGCACCCGGGCAAAACTAAAAATTTCCAACCAATTGAAAAAGTTTAATGTGTCCCACGCGCTCATATGACCTTATGCAGTTGTGAGCGCTGTAAAATACTTATTACATTCTAGTTTGCTGTAGAAACTAGTGTGGCATGTCATGGTACAAATACACTATTAGTTTCTGACTTATATCTCTCGAACAATTCTTTGAATTCATCGGCTGGTGCATTGTATATATTGAAGTTGGCAGATATGCTTTAAAATACTTTCATTGAAAGCCTTTGCCTTCATGGTCATAAAACAGTTTAAATTGTGTTGATATCTTTGTATTAAGTTAAAAAGTTATGGCGATTTTTCATACCTAAAATGTGGCCATTGATATCATTGATACCCTCAGCAGAGTAGAGCATCACAGAAACGTGTACGTGAAAACACGAAAGATGACGCGAGGGTTTCCAATGACAATTCGTTCAAAAACGGAGACATGATTGTGCTCAATTCTACGCAATTCGCAAAATACACTCCCAAATGTTTGGCTTTATCTCTAAATTACAGCTTTTCATTTTCAGTACAAATCCGATCTACATCAATGAGTACTTGACATTTCTTTGTGTACCGTATCAATACTTAGACCGATGGTGGCATTAGACGTTTTAACATCTGATGGTGGAACAGATTTGCACAACCGTGTTTCATCTGCGTACACAATATGATAGTTTATATTGCGATTTCTAGCTATGGCTCCAAGGTACTATTTACAAAGTAAACGATCAGAGTTTTCTTCTCCTAGATGAACAGCCATCCCTGCCCTGGCTATCGAGTTCCATCTACCCGGGAAGGGGGGATATCGTGCCCCTGTCTCGCTGGTGAGTCTTTCACAGGGCACTTAGGGTATTTTACTTTGAGTAGAAGAATGGGATCCCACACCACAATCTTCACACCGCACTCCATCCTCACTGTCATTTGGTCTGCGACTGTTTTAATAGACTGCTTATTTAGGTTTACTTGGATATACTTGGATCCAGAGCTAGAATCATAGCAGGCGGCACATGTCCATAGCTGCTCATCTCTTCTTTCCAGCGTCCACCTCAGGGTCTTCCTGCTAAATGTCTCCACGAGGAGCTGGTTTGAGACACGCCTGACCACTCTTCGGAGCAAATTTGTTTTCGCTGTGCCCCGCAGACACTTTTCTTTTACTGTGCTTATTTAGGTATTCGCAGCTAACCCCTATATCTAGAGGCTGTTCCACTATCCGCCACCTGTGGACACACTGGGTTGGGGTTGGTCGCCCCGGGGCCCAGATGGTGATGATAATGATGCAATAGTAAACAAATAATGAAATATAAAGAACAAAACCATCATCATCATCATCATCATCATCATCATCATCATCATCATCATCATCCTCATCATCATCATCAAACGGACCGGTCAAGTGTAGAAGAAAGGGGGAGCAATGACACAGTAGCAAAAGAGCGGGAACAGGAAATGCGAAGGAGAAAGAGGAGTAAAATGATACTTGCGAGGAGAAGAAAAGAGGTTTTGATCAAGTTGAATATATGCTTTTAGCAGGAATCTTTGGGCGAGTACTACAGACCCAGGCATGATCTGGTGGCCAAGGATGTGAACCTGGTGGCGGCAGGAACCATGCGACAGGAATGTTTGAAGGTAGGGGTTTACTCTCGTGTGTGTGTGTGTGTGTGTGTGTGTGTGTGTGTGTGTGTGTGTGTGTGTGTGTGTGTGTGTGTGTGTAAGAGAGAGAGAGAGAGAGAGAGAGTTAGAAGAGAGAGAGAGAGAGAGAGAGAGAGAAAAAGACGGAGAGAGAGATTAAGAAAGAAAGGTATTGTTGTCTGTGGTCTCACCACTAGGGTTTTCTAAGGCAGATGAGGCTGCAGCCAAGAAATTCCGAGACTGTTCCAAAATCGATGAACGAGTGAATTTAATTTACTCTTACTTCCGGGAAATTCCCAGCTTTAATCTGTGATTTCTCACCCAAATAAAACTTCCTGAAACTTCTCACACTGTTTCAGTCTGATCAATATCGACTTTTCCCACCAGTCTTATATGATGGTTGCTAATTCTTTTATCCTTTCAAATGGATTAACCCGGCCAACTACTGACAATTTAATCAACCCTTCTAAACCCACCTTCAGCTCATCCGCTGTCAGTTTCATCAGAGGCCGTACAAGCAGCCACGAACGAAGCTGTTTGTCGCAGATTATTGAGTCTAAATCTATCAAGCCCTTATCGACACGAATTAGGTCTTTTGAGAGGCGGGCTGCTTTGTCCATTACTGTTAGGACCAACCTGGTTTACGAGAAATACAACAGCCCAGCAGATAAATGAAGGTACCGGATAGAATTAGAATGGCTTTCCAGTTTTCAACTCGCGAATGGTTCTCATGATTTCTGAGAGAAATGGCGAAGGGCCTGTTACCTGACAGAC